CCTAAAGCATTTTCACCTTCTAAATGATTTCTTTGGTTTATTTGTCTTCTGTTATTAAAATGTAAGTTTCAGGACAGCAGGAATTTTTGTCAGATTTCTTTCACTGCTATATCATCAGGGCCTAGAAGACTTGACATGTGACAGGAACTCAATCAGTATTTGTTGAATAAAGTCTTTGTTCTAGTTCTCCTTGCAGTTGAGTGGTTACTGCTTTTTAAATTTCTATACTTTTGTTTCATCAGGGTCTCAGGAATAATGGGAGGAAAATAGGTGGATCACTTGCTGGTCAAATATCCTGAGCTCAAAGTCTCAAAGTCAGTGGTCTGAAATATGTGGGAAGATTATGGACCATTTAAGAATATTATGAAACCTACAGAATATATAAATAGGCATACATACTAAAGTTTTGCATATACGCTGCGGGAGGAGGCTGAGGTGGGCACATCACTTGACATCAGGAGTTTGAGAGTGGCCTGGCCAATATGGTGAAACCCTGTCTCTACTTAAAATACAAAAATTAGCTGGGCATGGTGGTGGGTGCCTGCAATCACACCTGTTCAGGAGGCTGAGGCAGGAGAATCGCTTGAACCCGGGAGGCGGAGGTTGCAGTGAGCCAAGATCGCTCCACTGCACTCCAGCCTGCTGACAGAGCAAGACTCCATCTCAAAAACAAACAAAATAAAATAAAATAAAATAATTAGGTTGCCGGGCACAGTGGCTCACACCTATAATCCCAGCACTTTGGGAGGCTGAGGTGGGTAGATTGCCTGAGGTCAAGAGTTCGAGATCAACCTGACCAACATGGAGAAACCCCATCTCTACTAAAAATACAAACTTAGCTGGGCATGGTGGCGTATGCCTGTAAAGTGGTGCAGTCTCGGCTCACTGCAACCCCTGCCTTCCATGTTTAAGTGATTCTCCTGACTCAGCCTCCCTGGTAGCTGGGATTACCGGCATGCACCACCATACCCAGCTAATTTTTGCATTTATGGTAGAGATTAGGTTTCACCACATTGGCCAGGCTGGTCTTGACCTCCTGACCTCAAGCGATCCTCCTGCCTCAGCCTCCCAAAATGCTGAGATTATAGGCATGAGCCACCTTGCCCAGCCTAGAACTCAAGACTTTGTATGAAAGAAAATAAGAATCCATTCATGGATTCCTTAGATAATGTGCTTTCAGAAAAAAAGACCCAAGAGACATGGAGTCTTTCTCTCTGGCTTCCTTACCCCAGGAACAGGTGTGACACCTTGGGTAAGTCAGTAACCCCGAGTATCAATTGCCTTCTCTGTAAAATGGGGCCTGCCTTAGAGCACCTTGAAGACTTCCTATCACCTCTATGATCCCCCAGGATATAGGGAGAATGAAATGAACATGGGTCAAGCCACTAACACCCTCTAATGCAAAAGCTTGTGGCTACTTTACCTCCATCTCATAGATTCAGATTTGTTGTGCAATGAGGTTGTCACAAAAAACCACCTGAGACAAATGGCTCTTGGGTAAAAATTTTTTCACTGCTGCTTCACTGGGATTCATTAAGCTGGTGCAGGGAGGGAAAGATGGTACAGATGGCTGAGGCCAGGGCCAGAACAGATTTGATGGGGTCCTGGGGTAGTAGCTGAGGCTTCCCAGGTCTCTTCGGACAACTGCAGCTGTCACAATTTTCAGAGGAGCAAGGAAGTAACCACAGTTTCTTCTTGTGAAAAGGTATGCTAAAGGGGTGTTTCATGGACACCCAGAAGAAAAGCCATTCTGTGGATGTAAAAGTCCCAGTGCAGTCCACAAGAGAAGGGTTATCAGGAACCCAGAACTATCCTCAGAAGCAGTCATCTTGTTTTTTTTGGGATGGAGTTTCACTCTGTCTCCCAGGCTGCAGTGCAGTAGCACAATCTTTGATTCAATGCAACCTCCGCCTTCCGGGTTCAAGCGATTCTCCTGCCTCAGCCTCCCAAGTAGCTGGGATTACAGGTGTGCACCACCACACCAGCTAATTTTTTTTTATTTTTAGTAGAGACAGGGTTTCACCATGTTGGCCAGGCTAGTTATGAACTCCTGACCTTAAGAGATAGGCCCACCTCAGCCTCCCAAAGTGCTGGGATTACATGTGTGAGAGCCACTGTGCCCACCCAGCCAAAAGCAGTCATTTTGATGATCCTTAAGGATGAAATGGGAGAGAGGGGTCTTAAGGAGAGGCATAAAAGTTGTAGGGTAGGGTTCGGAGGGTAAATCTGAGAGGTGTCTAGCTTGGGGGACACTTGATCTAGAGCCTATGCCTAAAGGGGATCTGGGAGGTGAGGAATTGGAGTATAGATCACAGCAGGGAGAAATGAAAATAGTTTGGAAAGACGTTAGGCTGGCTAATAGGGGAATTCTGGAAGACGGTCTGGGGAAAGTTTAGAAAAGTGGGGGAGGTGTAGGGTGGACAGGGGTTTAGGAGACTCTGAAAGGTGAGAGGGGAAAGATGGGGTGGGGTGGGGTAGAATGATGCCAGGTACTCCAGGTGAAAATACAACACTTTGGTCAAAATGAGGAAAAGTAGATATACTTCTAGGAACTGAGTTTTCACTTTTTGATAATTTGGTTACATCATGAAGTAGTCTTATAAACATATACCTTTAAATGGTTTTACTCATTTAAAAATAATTGTTAAGGCCAGGCATGGTGGCTCACACCTGTAATCCCAGCGCTTTGGGAGGCCGAGGCAGGCGGATCACCTGAGGTCGGGAGTTCAAGACTAGCCTGACCAACATGGAGAAACACCATCTCTACTAAAAATACAAAATTAGCCGGGCATATTGGTGCATACCTGTAATCTCAGCTACTCGGGAGGCTGCGCCAGGACAATCACTTGAATCCAGGAGGTGGAGGTTGCAGTGAGCCGAGATCTCGCCACTTTACTCGTAACATCCTGAGCAACAAGAGTGCAACTCTGTCTCAAAAAATAAATAAATAAAATTAAAAAAATAATTGTTCAGGATCAGTTGCAGGGCTCACGCCTGTAATCCCTGTGAACCCTGTCTCTACTAAAAATACAAAAATTAGCTGGGTGGTAGTACCGAGCACCTGTAGTCCCAGCTACTCAGGAGGCTGAGGCAGGAGAATCGCTGGAACCCAAGAGGCAGAGGTTGCAGTGCGCCAAGATTGTGCCACTGCACTCCACCCTGGGCGACAGAGCTAGATTCTGTCTCCAAAGAAAAAAAAAAATTGCTCATATTTTCTTTCTAAAATACAGGAACAAAATGTACAATATGGAAGCAACTGAATATATTTTGGTATGATGGTAGAGATGAGATTTCACCCAGTTGCCCAGGCTAGTCTCGAATCCCTTAGCTCAGGTAATCCAACCCCCTCAGCCTCCCAAAGTGAAGTGGTGTGATTATAGGCATGAGCCACCATGCCGGGTCTTATTTTTCTACAAGCGTACACTACTTTTATAATTAGGACAAAAAAGACAACTGTAGAAGGATAAAACATGTTGAAGGACTAGTTTTTCTAATTCATTTTCAGCCAATTTGGAACTGGAATGTTGTGAACACTTTCATATTTACAAACTAGTATGAACAATCCAACTTCCCAATCTCTCATTTACATATTTCTGACCTGTATGCATAGCCTGGGTGATGGAAAACGCTAGTTTAGAGATCAAGATGCTCAAACACAAAAGTCCCCAAAATCCTGGGTGTTGTTTAAAAAAAAAAAAAATCCCTAAAACATTTAAAGACACATAAAACTCTTCACCCACTAAGTGATGCACCAAATTTACCAATACTAGAAGGGGAGGAGGTTGGCAACGACTGAAAATATCCCCTTTCAAGTAATAAATAATGGTCATTTTGAACCAAGTTGCTTTCCACCTCAAGTCCTCCATGGATGGGAACCTGGAGGATGCCGTGAGAGCGGTTGTGGAATGGAAAGGAGCATGGGTAATTGGGGTTTGCGAGGATCGGGGCCAGGCAGAGGAACTGGGGGCTTTTCCAGGACCGTTGAGGAACATAGAGGCTGAGACGGGGCGTGTGGGACAGGTTCGAGCTTGGGAGGACCTGGGCCTCACCAGCCTCTAAGGAGAGTCAGGGCTGGGATCACACGAAGTCATGCCTGGGAAACTGAAGGGCTGGGACCGATTCTGAAAAAATGTGGACTGGAGATGGGGAGTCAAGATTCTTCAGAGAGTCCGGGGTGAGGAGCTAGACTGGGAAGGAGCTGTGCCCGGGGCTACGAGAAATCCAGACTCCCGTGAAAAAGGGCCGGAGTCAGGCTGAGGAAGCGCGAGTTTGAAAGAGTTCGGGCTCCCTCGCGGGACCGAAGTCTAACGAACGTCTGGGCACCCGGGCCACACCTGAAGAGCACAGGCGACTGCGCGATCCGCGACGCGGGAAGCAGATCTGCGGCTGAACCCCTACGCCGATTACTCAGCAGCGGCCCGATACTTGGCTGCTGCGGAGCCTATGGCGCTGGTGTTTCGAGCCCAAAGTGGCGCCGGTCTCGTATATCGTGGAGGATCCCAGGTCCCCTGTGACAGAGGGCCTAGTAGGCTGTGTCATAGCGGCTTCCCTCTTCGAGAAACAGTTGGAAATTGCAGGCCGGTTGACAGCCGTGCTCGTTTGGCGCCCGCGGACCCCAGTGAGTCCCTGGGCGGAGCCTGGAGCCGAGCTCGGCGCGCTGCGGGGAAGACGCATCAGGGGGCGGGGTCGGGAAGGAGGCGGGTGTGCTGGACATGCGCACAGAGTCCGGGCGGCTACGGAAGAGATAAAATAGTCCCTCGGCCGCCGCCCTGGTGCAACCCGGTGCGTTGCCGTGGAGACGGGCATGGCTGGATGGAGTGGGGTGCGTTGAGATGAACTGACCCTGCTGCGCCACGGGGACTGCAGTGGACCTGGCTTGCTGGCAAGGCGGGTAACCAGTTGAGCCAGGGTGGGGCTGCTCAGGAGCGTGGAGCCGAGGCCAGGATTTCGCTGAAGACCTGGCACAGGTGTTTCCTTTCTGCGACAAGACACCATTGCTATGGAAACTAAAGCGCTAGGCCAGCCGGGATTGAGGCTTCGGGATCCTGACTGGTCACCCTCCCGAAGACCCTTGCCCAAGGCTTCCCGGAGCGGCTACTTCCTGAACGAACCCGCGCATCCTCCCGAGGGAAAAAGGTAAGACCGCTGGAGTCTTAACACCGAGCAGCCGAAGAAGCCTATTCCAACGCCAGCTCCCCCAGGAAGCTTACCTGGCCCTCCCCTAGAAGTGGTGCCTCGCTCTCGTTAACTCGTTAACTCTTGGACTTTGTTCCACGTTTATAACCTAGTATTTCACCAACATCCCGCGGTGTTTGTCCACTTTTCCCCACACATAATGGACCATAAAGACTGGCTTCCTTGGCGTCTGACTCTGAACAAGTCCTTTCCCCCGCTGTATCTCACTTCCTCTTATGTAAAACGGAAATATTAACTCTAGACGCTGGTCTGATTAGGTTGCTTTGAAGATCGAACCAGATGAGGGAAGCCAAAGACTTCCTAGGCTGTAAAGCGGTGAAACTGAGTTGCTATTTTTTTTTCTCCGCCTCCCTCTCCCTCAAGCTAAATGTTCTTTAGATCTCTTGTATTTTCTTCAGGCGGTCTTTGCGATTCCCTAGCCTCCGACCTGGAAGAAATCAGAAATCTCTTTACACTTAACTTCCACAGAGCCCTGCATTTTAACTTCCCTATCAGAAGCAAGAAAAAATAGTTACCGTTTTTAGAGGGCTTACACTTTGCCAAGCCCTGATAACACTCTTTACCTGGATTATCTCATTTAATTTCACAACATCCTTTTTTAAGGTAGGCACTGTTACCCTGTTTTCAAGCTCTGTCTGCCTGTAATTGCCTGTTTACCGTTTCCCCCACTAGACTTTGAGCTCTATGAGAAAAGTAGCCATGCCTGTCTTGTATAGTTCAGTTACATTTCAGTATGTCCAACACCTAATACAGTGCCTGATATATCTTTCTTTCTTTCTTTCTTTTTAAGATGGAGTCTCTGTCACCCAGGCTGCGGTACTACAGTGGCTCAATCTGGGTTCACTACAACCTCCACCTCCCAGCTTCAAGCAATTCTGTCTCAGCCTCCTGAGTAGCTGGGACTACAGGCCCATGCCACCACACCTGGCTAATTTTTGTATTTTTAGTAGAGATGCAGTTTCACCATATTGGTCAGACTGGTCTTGAACTCCTGACCTCAGGTGATCTGCCCCCCCTCAGCCTCCCAAAGTGCTGAGATTACACGTGTGAACCACCAGGCCTGTAGATGTGTCTTAACTAGCATGAAAATGACAGATTCTCCTCCCATCACTACCCTTACCAGCAAGAGCATTGTTACTTCTGCAAACTTTTAGTTGCTCTGATGAACAGCACATTCCTCTATTTCTGTTACCCACTAGGCATTGGTTTGGGGGGAACTCAGTTCACTTCTCTCTGGAGTTTTTGATGCTGAGGATCCAGAACATTCCTTAGCATTTAGGCTTCTATCTGGGTTCAGGAGGCTTTTTCCTTGCCCTTCATATCACCTCTATAACAAGCCACCCGATCTGCCCTTCCTGGGGTGAGCCTGATGCATTTGAGTCTAGGGCACTGGCAGGTAGGATTTGCCTATACAACCTTCAGTCTTTCTCTTTAGTAGCCTCAGAACCACCCCCACTCCCACCCAGCGTCTTGCTGGAATTCTAGAGAAACATGGCCAAGAACTCATTCTTTCCAGAAAACCTCTCAAAGGCAGAGTCATAGCTGTTGGAGTCATTTTTTCATTCAGCAAATATTTATCAGGTACCTACTTGTGGGGACACAGAGCTTGGCACTAGTCAGTGACAGAGGGGGAGTGAAGATAGACACTGTCATATCCCTAAAGGGCTCACAGTCTCTTCGGGAGACAGACATTAATTAAATAATCAGATCAGGGCAAAACCACAGCTTGAGTAAGTGTTAGGAAGGAGAGAACATAGGGCTAAGAAAGCCTGGGGCAGAGAGTTGATCAAACATGAGGGAGGGTGTGATCTAAGATTTCCCTTAAAACAGTTACCTTTGCCGGGCGCAGTGGCTCAAGCCTGTAATCCCAGCACTTTGGGAGGCCAAGGTGGGTGGATCACGAGGTCAAGAGATCGAGACCACCCTGGTCAACACGGTGAAACCCCGTCTTTACTAAAAATACAAAAAATTAGCTGGGCATGGTGGCACGTGCCTGTAATCCCAGCTACTCAGGAGGCTGAGGCAGGAGAATTGCCTGAACCCAGGAGGCGGAGGTTGCGGTGAGCCGAGATCGCGCCATGGCACTCCAGCCTGGGTAACAAGAGCGAAACTCCGTCTCAAAAAAAAAAAAAACAGTTACCTTTGAGTTGATATCTTAAGGCTCCTCAGACCTCTGCAGTCCTCTGCTGAATGGGCCAGATCAGGATCAGATAGGTTCATAAGGAAAGGGGCTGAGACATCAGCAGAGGCAAAGGCCACTGACTGGAGAGGACAGGCCGTCCCTAAAGAACTGTTTGTGGCTCAGTCCACCTGAGGCCCTTCAGAGCATGCAGAAGCCTAATAAGGGGCTGGAGAGACAGGCAGGAGCCAGGTCAAAAATGGCCTTGACAGCCAAACTAAGTGGCTCCATCTTATCCTGACGATGGATAGCCACTGAAATATATTAAGCAGGGAAACAGAACTTCGGCTCCTCATTTCTCCTGCCTGGTGAAGACTGCCATTTGGCCCTGAAAGGTGTGATCTAAATCCAAATGCCCCTATTTCAGTAGGACGTATAAAGATGTCCTGGTTTTTGCAGCTTTGTTTAAGACTAGGGGCCGGGCACAGTGGCTCTCGCCTATAATCCCAGCACTTTGGGAGACAGAGGTGGGTGGGTCATCATTTGAGGTCAGGAGTTTGAGACCAGCTTGACCTACATAGTGAAACCTAGTCTCTACTAAAATACAAAAATTAGCCAGGCGTGGTGATGGACGCCTGTAATCCCAGCTACTCGGGAGACTGAAGCAGGAGAACCACTTGAACCCAGGAGGTGGACATTGCAGTAAGCTGAGATTGCACCTCTGCTCTCCAGCCTGGGTGACAGAGCAAGACTCCCTCTCAACAACAACAACAACAAAAGTCTGCCTCTCACTGGGGTGCATTCCACCGCTCTGCTGCAGGCAGCATGGTGCAGGTGTGGCAGGTCTTCTGGAGGCCCTGCTGCCTCTCTGTGCTTGCCCCTGGGGTTGTGGTGTGCATTATGCTGGCCTCCAGGAAGCTTTCAGCCACTCCCTTTCCCAGGCCCTCTTCAGAGACAAGATGCAGGAGCATGTCTAATAATTAATTTAGGACTTTGTATTTGACATCAGCTTCACATAGGCATATTCTGTCTCTTCAAAGAGATGGTTCTCAGAGGGGGAAAATGGGGCCCTCCCTACTCTTATACCACCCCCTCAGTGACTGCCAGCACAATGGGCTCTGGTTCCATGCCACTGGCCCAGGGCCTTATGATTTGGGCATAAAGTCAGAAGACTGAGGAGGAAGGTTGTGTAAGTGGTTCCCACTCAGAGGGCCAAGAAGAGGGCTTTGTGAGCTTAAATGGAGAGGCAGCCCAGGGCACAGCTGAGGGACACAAATCATCTGCCCAACTGGAACTGTGGGGCCCCTCAAGGGAGGCCTCACGTGCCAGACTTTGGGTCTTGCCCTTTGTCCTACAGGGCAGTGCACATTAGACCACCTGAGAAGCAGGCTGACAATGCAGATTCATGCTCTTCACCCCAAGAGTCTGACTCCATGGGTTTGAGAGGGACCTGGGTATCTGTACTTTTAATGAGTTTGCAGGGTAATTCTGCTGTCATGGTCAGAGGACTACCTTGGGGAATGCTGTAGGCCTGTCCACTTCCCAGGGATTCCTTGGAGTTGGCCCTCTGGGCACCTGCCCTCTAAACATCCTCTCCCTCCCTGCAGTTTTCCGTGGACACAGCCTAGCAGAAAGACGCAGCCTTTATGCCTTGCCGATTGCTGACCTACCGCCTTGATGACAGCACCCTTGTGTGCCTTCCCGGTTCAGTTCCCAAAGCCCTCAGTCAGCGGCCTCTCACAGATAACCAAAAGCCTGTATATCAGCAATGGCGCAGCCGCCAATAACAAGCTCATGCTGTCTAGCAATCAGATCACCATGGTCATCAATGTCTCAGTGGAGGTAGTGAACACCTTATACGAGGATATCCAGTACATGCAGGTACCTGTGGCTGACGCCCCTAACTCACCTCTCTGCGACTTCTTTGACCCTATTGCTGACCACATCCACAGTGTGGAGATGAAGCAGGGCCGTACTCTGCTGCACTGTGCGGCCGGTGTGAGCCGCTCAGCCACCCTGTGCCTCGCCTACCTCATGAAGTACCATGCCATGTCCCTGCTGGACGCCCACACATGGACCAAGTCATGCCGGCCCATCATCCGACCCAACAGTGGCTTTTGGGAGCAGCTCATCCACTATGAGTTTCAGTTGTTTGGCAAGAACACTGTGCACATGATCAGTTCCCCAATGGGAATGATTCCTGACATCTATGAGAAGGAAGTCCGTTTGATGATCCCACTGTGAGCCATCCCGCCAGCCGCAGCATTGGGGTCAGAGGTACAGATCTGCTGCTGATCCTATACCAAGATCCAAACTTGAACGTTCTACTTTTGTTGATATAGAAAAAAACAGATGATGCCTTTTATGAGCACAAGAAAATAGTTGCAGTAGCTTTTAACTTTATAATCCATTTTTTAAAAGATTAAACTCACCAATTTTGAGATGGTGAAAATAAATTTTCTGCCCTGTGAGTGTCAGGCCTCCACTGGCCAGTACATAGATTGAGGCAGATGGTGCCTAGAACAGAGGCCAGCACCCAGTGCACATGGCAGGCCTGGAATCCTGCAGCCCTCCCCAAAACTGAGTGACCCAGGAATGAATTCTGCTACAATTCCACCTCATTCTTTCACACCCAGAGCCAGAGCCTTAAGCATCATGGGTCCTCTTGCGCTTCTCACAGTAAGGGCCAATCTACTCGATAAATTGCCTTCAAGCAGTAATCCAGGCATCCTGGGGGGTCCCAGGCCACTTCTGCTTCCACCTTCACTACAAGTGGCCCAATTGCGGTTTTCTAGATTGGACTTATACTAAAGTAGTTTTCAAAGAAAGCATTCCACCGTACAAATTTTTTTTTCTTTTTTTGAGACGGTCTTGCTAGAGTGCAGAAGCATGATCATGGCTCGTTGCAGCCACAACCTCTCAGGCTCAAGCGATTCTCTCACCTTAGCCTTCTGAGCGGCTGGGACTACAGATGTGCACCATGCCCACCTCAATATTTTTTTTTTAAGAGATGAGGTTTTACTATATTGCCCAGCCTGGTGTCAAACTCCTGGCCTCAATCCTCCCACCTCAGCCTCCCAAAAGTGTTGGGATTATAGGCGTGAGCCCCTGCACCCGAGTACCACTTTATAAAAATTTTTTTTTTAAAGTTTTTTGTGAGTGCTATTGTACATGGCTAGGTTTCAAAGAGCCCTTGGCCATCCCTCACCAACCTTTGATGAAAGGTGGTGTTAGTCCCCTTCTCCACATCACATTAGAAAAACAGGCCTGACATCAGGCCTCGGGGTTTCTCTCACAGGCCTTGGCTTGGAAGGCTGGAGCTTCAGACCAAGGCGCAGCCCTGAAACCTCCTCTTCATGTGACCTGGAGCCCTGGGAGCAACACTGTCCTCATCTGTCCAATGACAGCCCTTTTCTCACAGAGTTGTGAAGATTCAACAATTTCTTGGCATAGTGCCTGGCACGTGGTATGTGCTTAGCTCAAACGGCCGCTCTCATCATGAATGAGACTGTTTCACCCTGCTGGCCCCTGGTTGGCACTCTCATCCTCAAATGCCATTTCTTCTATCCGCGCACAGCCCTTTATTGTTTATAAAGTACTCTTCCAAAAAGTTACCCTGTGTGTTAAAAAAAAGGTTTAAGTCCTTTCAGACCCTACCTCAGAGAAGGCCTAGACTTAGAGCCTTTTGGGAGCGTCCATCTTGTTTAATCCACGTGCAACCAAAGGGTCCTGAAGCAAGAAGCACGATCCCAGCTTCCCCCAATCACTTCTAAACAGTGATTCCAGCCTTGTTTAGAATCACTATGAAAACCTGCACCCCAGCTGACTGCTGGGATCCATAAGGGGGCAGTGTCAAAGGGACTAACAAGTGGACTCCATCAGCAGGCACTGGAATTCAGGATCGCTCACACCCCCTCAGTGCTGAGGACCGAGCTCAAGACCAGCTCTTCTGATCCAGAGGTTTTCGGCAAACAGCATTTGAAACAAACAAAAGCATGGCTGCTCTGTTTGCCACCAAACTGTGGCTCCAGATTCCAGTGGAAGCCAAGTGCTTTTTCTTTTACAGCTGGGCGCCTGTAATCCCAGCTACTCAGGCAGGAGAATCGCTTGAACCTGGGAGGCGGAGGATATAGTAAGCCAAGATTGTGCCATTGTGCTCCAGCCCGGGCGACAAGAGTGAGACTCCATCTCAAAAAGTAAAGAAGAAATGCTTGGGACCAGAAATATTTTGGATTTTTTTCAGATTAATATTTGTTTTACCTGAAGCAAATATTATTTGAGCGTCCCAACTCCGAAATCCAAAATGCTTAAATGAGTATTTCCTTTTAGAGTCATTTCAGCTCTCAAAAAATTTTGGATTTTGAGCATTTCAGATTTTTGGATTTGAGATCCATGGGTGGATCTCATATATTTCACTTGAGGGGGCTGTTGTAGATTTTTTTTTTCCAATTGCTCATTGTTAGTGTATAGAAATACAATTGAGGCCGGGCGTGGTGGCTCATGCCTGTAATCCCAGCACTTTGGGAGGCCGAGGTGGCCAGATCACTTGACTTCAGGTATTTGAGCCCAGCCTGGCCAACAAGGAAAAAGCCTCATCTCTGCTAAAAACACAAAAGTTAGCAATGCATGGTGGTGGACACCTGATATCCAAGCTACTGAGATTAGAGGCTGAGACAGAATTGCTTGAACCCAGGAGAGCCAAGATCACAACACTGCGCTCCAGCCTGGGCAACAAAGCAAGACTCCATCTCAAAAAAAAAAAAAAAAAAAAAAAAAAAAAGGCCGGGCGCGGTGGCTCAAGCCTGTAATCCCAGCACTTTGGGAGGCCGAGGCGGGTGGATCACAAGGTCAAGAGATCGAGACCATCCTGGTCAACATGGTGAAACCCCGTCTCTACTAAAACTACAAAAAATTAGCTGGGCATGGTGGCGTGTGCCTGTAATCCCAGCTACTCAGGAGGCTGAGGCAGGAGAATTGCCTGAACCCAGGAGACGGAGGTTGCGGTGAGCCGAGATCGCGCCATTGCACTCCAGCCTGGGTAACAAGAGCGAAACTCCATCTCAAAAAAAAAAAAAAAGGGTTCTACGCCTTCTGTCCCCCATGGTTTCTACTCAGAAATCCACAGGCATTAACTGTTGTTTCCCAATAGGTAATGCCTCATTTTTTTCCCCAGCTGCTTTTAAAGATTTTCTCCTTGTCTTTGGTTCCCATCAGTTTGATTATGATGTATATGTGCATGGATTTCTTTGGGTTATCCTTATCAGAGTTCACAGAGCCTCTTGATTGTCTCGAAAATCTGGGAAGTTCTCAGCTATGATTTCTTCAAATATTGTTTTCTGCACCATACTGTCCTGTATTTCTGTGTCTTCGATAACATGAACATTAGACCTTTTGATATTATCTGTGAATTTCTGAGTCTTCATTTAAAAAAAAAAAAATCTCTAGCTGGATGTGGTGGCACATACCTATAGTCCCAGCTATTTGTTGGGGCTGAGGTGAGAGTATCACTTGAGCCCAGGAGGTCAAGACTGCAGTGAGCCGAGATCACACCACTGCACTTCAGCCTGGGTGACAAAGTGAGACCCTGTCTCAAAAAACCCACAAAAATTTTCTTTTTCTCTCTGCTGCTCATGTTGGGTAATGTATTAGTTTAGACTTGGTGCTGTAACAAATTACCACAAATTCTGTGCTTAAAATTGCAGAAGATCTGGGAAAAAAAAAAAATTACCACAAACTTAGTGGCTCAAAACTACATCCATATATTTTTTCACAATTTCTGTAGGTCAGGAGTCTGATTGGACTTGACTAGGTCCTTTGCTTAGAGTCTCACAAGGTCAAAATCACATTTCATAAGGCCAAAACCAAATGTGTTTTTCCCTGGAGGCTCTGAGGAAGAATCTGCTTCATGTTCATTTTGGTTCTTGGCTGAATTTAGTTCATTGCAGTTGCAGGGTAGAGGACCCTGTTTTCTTAGCTGTCAGCTGGGGGCCGGCCTTTGCTTCATAGAAGCTGCCCACATTCTGGTGCTTTCTATGTGTCCCCCTCCAGAAATAGCAGGTTGAATTCTTCTTACACTTTAAATATCTCTTAACTTTTCCTTCTGCTACATCTAAGTTCAGCCAGAGAGAATCACTCTGCTTTAAAAAGACTCATGTGATTAGAATAAGCCCACCTAATAGTCCAGAATAATCCCAATTTTAAAATCAGTTACATCTGCAGTCTCCTTTGTCATATAAAGTAACATTCACATTTTCCAGGGAATAGATCAGAAACATCATTTCCAAATCTTGATTCTTATATTTTCTTAGTTCTAAAATTATTATTTAGCCTGTAATCACAGCACTTTGAGAGGCTGAGGTGGGTGGATCACCTGAGGTCAGGAGTTCAAGACCAGCCTGGCCAACATGGAGAAACCCTGTCTCTATTCTACTAACATACAGAAGTTAGCTGGGCGTGGTGGCATGTGCTTATTAGTCCCAGCTACTCCAGAGGCTGAGGCAGAAGAATTGCTTGAACCCAGGAGGTAAAGGTTGTGCCACTGTACTCCAGCCTGGGTGACAAGAGCAAAACTCCATCTCAAACATTAAAAAAAATTCTTATTTAAAAAATAATAATAAATAAAATTTCTGTTTGATTGTTTTCTTTGTCCTCTATTTCTCTGTTAAGACTTTCCGTCTTCCATTTTTAAAGTCTTTTTCTGAGCCGGACATGGTGACTCACACCTGTAATCCCAGTACTTTGGGAGGCTGAGGCAGGCAGATCACCTGAGATCAGGTGTTTCAGACCAGCCTGGCCAACATGGTGAAACTGTGTCTCTACTTATAATACAAAAAATTAGCTGGACATGGTGGTGGGCACCTGTAATCACAGCTACCCGGGAGGCTGAGGCTGGAGAATCGCTTGAACCTGGGAGGTGGAGGTTGCAGTGAGTGAAGATCGTGCTATTGCACTCCAGCCTGAGCAACAAAAGTGAAATTCCGTCTCAAAAATAAAGGTATTGTCTGATAATTCCAACATCTGGGACATCTCAGGATACAGACTTTCCTGGTTCTTTGTGTATAATTTTGATTGTATCCCAGGCATTTTGAATAGGTCTTGTTTAAATCCCACAGAAAGTGTTGGGTTTTTGTTTTAGGAGGCAGTTGACCCTCTTAGGTTCAGTTCTGATCTGTGGGCTATTGTAGTTCGAATATCGGTTCAGTTTCAAGCCTTTGCCATGTAAATCAGAACACTCCTAAGCTTACGCCACCCAGTGACCAGTCTGAAACCTGAGTGTTCTGCCTAATAGTTCGGTTCTCAAAGTCATTGGAATACTGTTTAGGGTCAGATCCATGCATGTGAGCCTACGCCTACAAATTCATGTGCAACTTTATGGGATCTATTTCACAAGCTCTCTCCTGTCCAAATTCTGCCCCACACTCTCCAGCTTTCAAGACCCCTCATTTTCCTGGTCCTTTAGCTAGAAATTGGGACTCCCTGCTCTGTTAACGTAGCTTCCATGGTGGGGTGTACTCTTGGGCCAAGTGACAGGATGAAGAGAGAAAAAAAGGCAACAGAGATTCCCCTCTTATACTTTTCAGATTGCAGATGCTTTGGCCAGATAAAAGAATTCCACTCTACTGTAGAGTTTTAGGTGCTTTTCTGGCCGCCACTGCTACTGCTACTGAAAAAAAATAATAATTTTTCTAAAGACAGAGTCTCACTGTGTTGCTGAGGCTGGTCTCAAATCTCTAGCCTCAAGTGATCCTCCTGCCTCAGCCTCCCAAATCCTGGGATTACAGGCATGAGCAACCGCACCCAGCCTTGTTAATATTTCTCTTTTTAGAGTCCTCGGATGCATTCTGTCCAGGGCTTTTAGTTGCAGCCAGTGGGAGAGACACACTATGCTTACCTATCTTACTTAGAACTGGAACCCCAAGAGATTTTTTTTAATTAAAAAAAAGTTTTTTTGAGATGGTCTCACTCTGTTGCCCAGGCTAGATACTGTGGTGTGATCACCACTTACTGCAGCCTCAACCTCCCAGGCTCTAGTGATCCTCCCACCACAGCTTCTTGAGTAGATAGAGCTTAGAGGCACTCACCACCATGCTCCACTAATTATTACTTTTTTAATCTTTTAAAAATTTTTGTAGAGACAGGGTCT